AGGGAGAACATTAGAGAATGGAGCTGCAGAAGGTTTAGAGGAACTACAGGTGTTTGAAACAAAAAAAGAATGGCTCTACATCTTAAATTGGAAGAGGCAAGAGCAGACATCAAAGAATTTTCTCCATGCTCTTCCCAACATGCATGACCTAGCAACTGTAAAGAATGCCAAAATCCATTTTTTTTGGGTCTTGCTGAAGTGCTGCTACAACAGCAGTCTGGTGAGATGAAAGGGCACTCAGAACTGCTCACTAACCTCTCTGTTATTCTCTGATAGCTTCCATTTTATTACAGAAAGGTTTTCACATGGAAATGACTGAGGTGTACAGGAGAAGCCTCTCTCCTGAAGAAGATTATGGCAATACATCAAAGAAAACCCCAAAGAAAGAAGCTGGTTGCCCAAAAGAGCACAATGTGTTCTAATTTGCCCTTTATTCTGTTTTCCCTGTTTCTTTTTAACAGTAGGGAGATATTGACAAAAGAAAGGCATGGTAAAACCAGTGAGAAATAGCACCAGGGAACACTGCAAGCAAAGAAAGGTTAATTACAACACAGGAAAAGATGCAGGGAATGTGAAGAATGTCAGCAAGTAAATAAATCAATAATCTGCAATCATCACCTACATTCCTGAACTACCTTGGAAGCAAGGCTATCTACCCTTAACATTCCTGACAACAGCAGAGGTGTTCAAGGAAGGTTCCTCCCACCCTGTGCTCTGTTTCTGCCAGCACCCTTCTGTCAACAGCTGATTGCAAGGGAACCTTTCTGAACTACTTCTTGTCACCATTTTGCTAATACAAGCTTGTCAATACCATGGACCAGCCCAGAAGCATTTAAAAAAAATCAAAATTAGTGTTGTGAACATCACATTTAGCTGAAAAAGAAACCAAACCATAAAGGTCATTGGCCAAAAATTGCCAATGATGCAGTAGATGACCCCCTCACCACTGCTCTCTAAGCCACCTCAGAGCCTAGCAGCTCATATGGAATAAAAGCACAGATCAATAAAACCAGAAGATTAATGTGGTTTTGCAGATGTATTTCTTCACAATGGCATCAGCATACTACCAAGGAAAAGTTTTACAGAGGAAATGGAAGCTGAGCAAGAGAGACAAAAGGACATAAAAGTCAGGGCTTCTTAAATTGGGAACATTCCACATTGTTAATGGGGGGGAAAAAACAAACAAACAAGCAAACAACAAAAAATCCTCAAACAAACCAAGCAGACAACTAAAAATGTGGTTTTGCAGATGTATTTCTTCACAATGGCATCAGCATACTACCAAGGAAAAGTTTTACAGAGGAAATGGAAGCTGAGCAAGAGAGACAGAAGGACATAAAAGTCAGGGCTTCTTAAATTGGGAACATTCCACATTGGTTTTTTTTTTTTTCCCCCCCATTAACAACAAAAAATCCCCAAACAAACCAAGAATACAACTAAAATTAAGGTTGTGTCATCAAGTAATGTGGCACAACAGAACCTTGCTGACATCTACTCTGAACTAACTCAGTAACTCTAGACTGCTCCTGTGAACCAAGAGTCTGGTTTAGTTTCATTCCAAAAGGAATCTAGATCAACCTGTGGTTCAAACTGAAGTACATTGAGTGTGAAACAATGGAAATTCAACTCAGAGTTGTAATCCTCAGCCAATGCTACTACACATTTACACAAAGTTGAAGTAGGATTCTGATGCTCTAACTGAAACAGGCTTTTAAGTCCAGCACCTAACTCCATCTCAAACAAACAGCATGATTCCACATGAACATTGTTATTTAGAAGCCTACTTCTGTCTAGAAAATGTAACTAATTCTCCCCAAATTGCTTTGCCACACAAAATTAAATGTACAAAACCCACAGCAAATCAGCACACAGAATTACTTCTAAGCTGGACAATTTCTAAGCATGCACAACATGCTTTTGCAAATGAAGCTGATACAATACAATTAGGTAGCTGGGGGCAGATTTTTATGTGACTAGAGAAATTTCTTAATCCTTATACGAAGTGTAGCAATTAAGTCTGTTTTCAATACCACTCTACTGACAAACAAGGGGAAAAACAAAGACAAGAGAGACAGAAAACCTGCTGTACCTGTATGCTGTTCTTCCATCCAAGCGTGGAGATACATGAAGAGGAGCAGACCAGCTACTCCAAACATCAGCACAGACACAAAGACTTGTCTTAGGTTCATGACCCTACCAGGGGGCTGCTGTTCAGCTTTCAGAAGAACTCATGGCTCACTTCTCTGAAGTTCTCAGCCTGCATCTTCTTCAGTATCTTCCCCTGAGACACCAACCTGGAAAAAAACAAGAGATGGAGCTAGTTCTCATGTTACATTTTTATTCATCACCAGAGGCTGTGTAAACAGCATCCTATATCCAAGGTGGAGCTCTTACAAGCCACTACTTTCAGTGCTTAGATTTCTGTTCATGCTCTCAACAATCTTTCTGTACCTGGATGAGTTCCAAGGAGAATTGTTTCTCAAGGTGGCTGCAGAGACCATTGCACCTCCACCCTGCCAAACATCACCCACTGCTATAACAGAGGGAGGTAAAGCCCCAAATGAGATGCCTGCCTGTCACACCAGTAAACCATTGCCCACTAACCAGCACAACTGAGAAGCTACAGCAGCAGCTGAAGGCCTGTGTGACTTGATGGTTTTACTCAGCTACTTTGTACCTGGCAAGGATCAAATTCTGGCCACTAAGTTCAATAAAAATGAGACGAAATGTAAAACCTTACAAAAAACTATTAGGTTTTTGCACTGCAGAGGGCCCAGAAAAAGGAAATCACTCACCTGATCCCCTGTACCTGCCACAAAGGGGCCATAAAATTCAGTTTATAACAACAGAATGTAGAATAGCCTGTGTATAATAAAAGAACCAACTCCTTAAGCTGAAGCAGAACACTGGCTTGGTGTGCTGGTTTGGGCTGGATTTAACAGCCACACTCCAGCTTCTGGTAATGCCCTTTCAAAATGAATGCATGGATCTGTATCAGCAACGTTGTTTCCAGCACAAATCCAAAACATGACCTCATACCAGCCACTAGGAAGAAAATTAACTCTCTCTCAACTGAAAAAAAACAGCCTGGAAAAGAAAAGGTGTTAAAATTCAACACAATGGACACCCTTGTAAGTGCCTATCTGATAGAAGTGTCTGATAAACTACCACAAAGAATGGAAAGAAAACCCTCAAGTTTTTAAAGGACAGTCCACTGAAAAATATTTGACAGAGAAGCCTGTGGGAAGAACAAGAGCTCAAATATATGTGCATCCAAATAAACAGAAAACTCAGGCACTGAAGTTTTTTGTGAAATATCCCAATACTGTGTTTCAAAAGTTTGATTTTTTATAGCTCAGCACTGTTAGATCTGTAATTGCAGAGTTCCTAAAAATACACATAAGGCTTAGCAGGCACTCCCAACTGAAATAGCTCTTGAATGAACAAAGCAACTATGTTAGAAAGACACAAAAGGTTTCAAGAACAACAAAACTGTGTTCAGGACTTCACAGGATTATTTTCCAGTTCTGTGCCATTAAAATTGCACATTTCTCTGAAGCACAAACTTGCCTGTGGAAAATCTAAACCAGAGTTTAAATATTAATCATTTTCTCTGTAATTGTTCTGTAGAAGACAGACAGCTAGATGTTAACAGAATGTAAATGTTCTGTCTGAGGTCTTTTTTTGTGTGGGTCATGAAGTATCTGTTTCAAACATGGAAGGAAGGCAAATAGGTGCTTTATTCCTTCTAGTTCTTTCTGCCTTGATTCTGCAGAGATGGAGCTTCCTCCATTTATGTACATGTACCTGTTTGCAGCTTGTGATGATGCACAGGGCTGGAATCAAGTGGAGAAGACTGAGCAACACCAAGGAGAAGGCTTAGGGAATGCTCTGTGAAATGACTTTTGTAAGGGTGTGGGAGGTAGAACCTCCTTCCAGGCAGCTCTTCATTAGCTGTTATCACTTGCACCTATTCCTACAGTGCCCTCAGCATTCCCAGACTTGCAGTCTTCCTTATCTACATCAAAAGGTTCACTTAAGTCTTTGCATCTCTCTTCAGTCCTGCAGCAAACGTGCTGTTTGCACGTCTTCAGGAACCACTCTGCTGACCAGACAGAAGCTTCTCAGCACAAGCAATGCTTCAAGAACCATTGCTCAAAGGACTGAGGAATACAAACCTCCTCTGGTTTCAGCCCCTTGGTGGGGTTGTCACTTGTTTCCACCTCTGACTGCACAAAACTCTCACATTTTCAACCTTCTTTTCTGAAAAAGCAGCTTCCTTGAATGGGCAAGAAAAGCTTTCTCAGGCCACGTAGATGATGCTGAAACCAGAGTGTCTCCATGAACATTTTTAGCACTTGTAGGCTGAGGCTGCTGCTCTCTCCAGCCCCTTGCTCTCATCATCCAGGACTGCCTAGCTCTTGCCACCACCATGAAGGCTCATTCAGAAAGCTCATCCAGCTACAACCTGCTGCAGGAAGAAGGAATGGGGACCTTACTGCCAAGAAACACTGGTTTAGTCAAACTACAGCCCACAAAGGATTTACTCAAGGAATGGTGCTGGTGGTTTTTCCTTTAACAACACCAAGCATCAAATGATGCTTGATGGCACAGGATATAGAGCTGACCTTGCCCAAACACCATCACTGCTGCATGCAGTTGATCTACAAGCCCTGCATCATCACTGTTTGGATGTACACTGAAATAAGGAGCACTTTCAAATAATTTCATCTGTGAATAAGTAAACAGAAGTTTTTCCTAGTAGGGTGGTGTCAGTTTTAAGTGGATAGGAACTCCTAAAAGGAAACAGCAGTTCAAGTTGTATTGTTTTTTTAAACTACCAAACACACCCTTAAAGCAAATTTACTCTGCCACCACAGCCACTACAATTACCTTTGTATCAAGAGTTTTCATGCTGCTTGCAAGTTAAATTTATTTAATTTATATGGAAGTCTTTTCTTTGTTTATGTGTCATCTAAGTTTTAAGATCAGTTATAAACAGGAGTAACATTAATTTTAATTAAGACTACCTATTTCAGCACAGGTTAAACTCAAAATACCTCAAAGCCATAAAACTCTGAAGCTATTCTGCTACCTTCTAAGACTTTTAAAGGCTTTTCAGCTTGAATAAGTAGCTTAATTTACTTAACGGAGTGATTTGTAACTCACATACAAAAAAATGATAGTGACATTCAAAAAAAAAAGTCTATAAGTCTTCTAGTAGCACTTGAAAAATGGCTGCACAGCACTGACAAATTTGCTTTTTGAGTATTAAAAAGCAGCAGTGGTGGATAACACTCTCTAACAGCCTGGCAAAGAGGAAATACCTGCAAATATACTTTAATCAAGATGAATGCTCTCTTGTGGCTGTGAAGAGCCAACAAGCAATTACTTTCAAGCTAAGTATTTTCCAAAGAGCTATATCCAGATGGATGTTCAGCATCCCTAGGTAAGCTGTAAATCTTTCTTTGCTCCCTGTCCTGGGCAACATGTCTCCACTGGGTGTTAGCTTGACCATCCTGATGGATTGGATGCTTGTTAACTAATTTAATCTAATCTTGCTGTCTGAGAAACTAATGTAGCCTAAGAAGCTGCTGTGTCCCTCTCACCCATGCTGACACTGATTCTTGCTTTAGCCAAATCTTCCTCCTCATCTCTTTTGGAAGCATGGACATCAATGTCCCACCCAACTCTAGACTTTACAGAAAATATAGTGACTCTCAACCCCCAAAATTTAAAGTCCTTTTAAGTAAAGAGATTCCTACACGTTGTTCTTATCCATCATGAAGAAACATCCCTTAGATGACACCACAGACCTCTCTGCAGCAAAAATTTATACACTTGATGAGTTTATAAGCATTCACTTCCAAAGCCAAATTGTTTAATGCTGTTGTCAAATTTAAGAGTTTCAGGAACCTACATTCCACTAACATTAAACCCTTGCATTTTTCTCCCTGTGTTTTTGGGTCCAGTTCAAAGAGGCACATTCCCACCCAGGGCCAACACAAGCAACTGAAATAGCACAGCCACCCAAAAATAGGGAAGAGTGCATCTCCTGCTTTTGGCAGGATTCCTCATTTCAGTACATTGTCCACTTCTCCTGCCAAGCAAATACACCTGCAGATGAGGAGAGGCATCTCCAGGACTCAGGTACAATTCCTGGCTTCTTCCTCCTCCAGACCACACAAAACCAAGGACATCTGGTCACAGCATGTTTGGCTAACTTAAGATTTCCTTGCCACAATCACTCTCACCTAGTTCCAAAATCAAAAACATATAGAAGCAGAACATTAGATTGCCTCGAACTGGAAACTTTTAATGCCCCTCCACCTTTTTTCCTTCACCTGAAAATAAAAAGATGATCAAGGTGAGTGCTTAGCCAGTAGAATAGTGATAAAAGAACCACAGATGTTCTTTATAATGGTCAAAGCATTCCTGTTCCTGTGGGTTACCACAAATTCCCACCCACTCGGCATCTCCTTATATGCAACTGTATTAATGAAAGAAAAATGAGAAGCAGAATGAGAAAGAGGACACAGAAAGCTACTGCAGCCCCCCACTTTGTTATTTTTCTCCCTTTCCCTTCCTTCCTTACCCCAAGAAGCAGTACGTTTTCTGATGCCTCCACTAGATTATTATCCCAAGAAGATTTTGCACCGAGGAATGTCCTGCTGGACACTGGCCCAGGCTACTTTCAGCTGGGTCAGCAGAAGGAGGCAAGGATATCTTCTCAGTTCAACACTGCCCCTCCTCCCTCCTCATCTGTTAGCTGGCGTCCCACCTCATGCATAGGTGATCCTCCAGGATCTTCAGCTGGGTCAGCAGAAGGAGGCAAGGATATCTTCTCAGTTCAACACTGCCCCTCCTCCCTCCTTCCCTTCTCATCTGTTAGCTTGTGGCCCACTTCATGCATAGGTGATCTTCCAGGATCACCTTTCCACTCTCCACATCTCAACTTTCTGGCTTCACAACAACTAGCACAAGGCACAGCTCCAGCTTTTAGCAATGCTTGCACACTTCCTCATACTAATCAGTGTTACTCTTCATTCCAGTGGCTGCTAGGAATAAACATACTATATTTGCTGTTTTCTCTCTCCAGCAGGTTATGCTGAGTCCTGTGGTTGGGTGAAGCCAAAAGTCCTTATAGAAATCTGAATTGAGTAACCAGATCAAGACAAACTCAGAGCTG